TTCGTTTTATCGTCTATGCTTTTTTTGTAAGTCACTATATAATCATGTTTGTTTTTTACTTCTACAATCAAATTTAATAGGAACAAGAGAGATTTGTTTTGATGATCTGGATTTAATATTGTACTTAAATATGTATAAGACATTTCAATTTTCTTTATTTCTCATCGATCACGAACTCTCCATTGACACCCATTATTATAATGTATACAACGAACAATATATTTGTCAGCTTTAAACCCAAGAATACAAAACTTATATCCCTCATCAATATGAAATTGTTTGATTTCACTTACTATTGTCTATTTTGACGGAAAACACCGACCTTTCCAGATGTTGTTTTCACCTCTATGGTTAATTGATTAGACAATTGTACGGCATGTAGCAGGACATTGTCATTCAGATAGATTGCAGCAGAGAAAAAAACTATTTTCTTGAATAACAAGCTCATCAACTACTATGGACGAACTACCAACTTAAAATTTATTCATCTAATTAAAACAAACAACAGAAAAATTGATTAAAAAAATATAATCAGTTACTGTAAAGTATATTAGGTAAAATGAACCAACTAAATTTAAAGAAAAATTTCAATTAAACCAAGTGAATATACCTTTAAAAATTAAACTTCAATAAACAACTACGATTGCAATAGAAATTGTTATGTGATTGGATTCGAAACAATCAATGGGTATTTATACTTAACTAATTGCAATGAAAATGGTTGGGATGCACATTATTCATTATTTATCATTTGCAACACTAAAATTCGAACCTCATAAAATAGAAAAAACTCATGTCAAATAACCTATTGAACGAAAATTGTGTGAAGTTTAGTTTGAGGGTTATTTTAACTAAACTCATGCAAGCAAAAAACGAGTTCTATACAAGCCTAGATCGTGCTACAATGCACAAGTTTAGCTAGAACAAACCCAAAATCATGCTAGCTTGCATGATTTCACTTTAGGGTAAGCAAAATCGGCTTTCCTTGCACAATCTTAGTGTGTTATGGTTGCACAAAAATCGTGCTTAGATGCACCAGTTCAATGTCATTACATGCACGTTGTCCTAAGTTGTAAAGTTGTACATAAAACCTAAAGAGGCAAAGTCTTCATGAAAAAGACCGTCCTTTCCATTCAATTTTTTAATTGAGCTTGTTTTACATTCAATTTTTGAATTGAATATGTTATTGAAACTTTATCACCTAACAAGTTATTTGTCCTTATAAATAGAGCACCCCTTGCATTCATCTTCATCCCTCTTATTCATCAAGAGCTACTCTATACAGTTTTAATCTCTCACCTCTTTTTATATAGTTTTAATACTGCCTCTATTATTTCTTTGCCGCTGCTGCAACACTTTCCAACATTTAGTCAAGTATTAACTTTCCATTATGTTAGAGTTTTTACTTTTTTCTTTCTTTGCTCAACAACACTTTACAATAATAATAATAATAATTATAATTATTATTATTATTATTATTATTATTATTTATAATTTTATTATTATTGTTAATAATATATTGTTAATAATATTTTCTTTCTTTTACCAATTGTTTCAACAATAATTTATTTTTTATAATAATAATAATAATAATAATAATAATAATAATAATATTATTATTATTATTATTATTATTATTGTTATTAATATTATTGTTAATAATATTATTAATATTATTGTTATTACAAAAATGATTGGTCTTTTCTTCTTGTTGATATGTTCTTATTGTTTAAGTTTGGGCCTGAGATCATATTACATGCATCTATCTTAAGGTAGAAGATTTAATCAATGAGGAGATTGTTGTAGGGTATGATTTTCCATTGACTAAAAGGTATTCAAATTTATTTCATATTTTCAATTTTATTTCTTTTTTTCATGTTACTTCATTTTATAATAGTATTTTTTTTTTTAAATGTAGTAGATGGTCATGGCTAGGTCAAAGGTCCAATGATTACATATATTATACATGCATTACATCTAACATTTAATCAATTAAAACCAAAGGAGTTGTTTCATTTATTACAACTTGTCAATATGTATTTATTAAATGATAATAATTTTAATTTCACAAGTTCTATAAAATAATATAGTTTTTGTAGACTTTTTATCGTCGATCTGCGTTACAACGACTAATAAATGTTGAGATTTCTTGTGTGAGTCATGTTATAGTTTCGATTATATGTTTTGCTACTGTTGAGCCTCATCTAGCTAATCATTAACTGAGTCAATTTGGTCTTCGTCAACCAATTTCAAAAGATTCGATCAATCTTGACAAACTTCACAAGGAAGAATGAGAGGTAGAATCGATAGATTTTGACCTCAATATCATGAAACTTGGATTACTACGTAGAATGCTCATCATTATCGACAAATTCAAGAAAATGAGTTCAATAAAATGACTACTTGTATGAAAATACACCATATATAATATGATATTTTCAGCATAATATCATATATATTTCTTCTTCTTGACGAAATAAATATATCAATAATTATACTTTATATATATAATATTGATATCAAACTAATATTAATTTTTTTTTAAACGTATAATACAAAACAGCAAGAACAACCTCAATATATAAGTCAACCTAGTCATGTTCATGTTGTTCAGATTCATCAACATATTGGTCAGTCTAGTCATCAACATGTTGGTCAATCGAGTGATCAACAACTTATATTTTGGATATGTTTTTCAACTTCAAAATTTACCTACTCAATAAGACAAGTTCCCCATACATTTATTTCATTTTCATATGAAACAGATATATTATTCACATCTTCCATGACACCACCGTCAATATACGATCAAGTACCTTTCATGACTATTATGCCCAATATATCCCCTGTTGCAGTATACTGATGAAGAGGATGATGATACATCCAATCTCAACTATCATAGGATGATAAACATGTTACACAAACACAACAAAAACCTAGACAAAATTAATCACATAGACTCAGACAACAAATCAAAAGGTCATATTGTAAAACACAAGATCTCACCATTAATTTTTTAATCTTTTTATATTTTGATTTCTATAACAATGTATATATAATATAATATTTTTATATAAATATATTGAATTAAATTTATCTATATTTTTCTAAATATTTATATTTTGTATTAAATTAATAATTAAATCAAAATTAATTTTTAATAAATACTATATTTAAAAAATTAAAATAATCCTATTTAATTAAAAAAATTAACATGCTAGATAACACAAATTCAATATAATAAAAATTATGCAAAACTCAGTACTATTAAACTCATTTAAAAAAAAATCAAACAACGAACTACATTGTACAGTTTTAGTGTTGACCGCTAAAATAAAGTTTTCATGTCAAACTCGTCCCACCTAACTCATCCCAGGTAAAATTAAAAACTTCCGTCCTCTTTAGTAAAATCAACATTTTTTTGACCTGATTGATAAAAGTAACCCCTTTTTTCTATTCTCAAACGATATTTTTCCTGAATTGAATTCATAGAACTTCCTCTTTCTGGATCTTCTACTGACATTTTATAATTACTCGTTCATTGTTAGGAATAATTCCTGCTTAAGAAAATATGAATTTGAAAGACCCTACTTCCATAGTCAACATTAATCAATGGTGAATGCAATAGCACACATTCAATTAACAAATAAAAATTGAAACAATTCAAATCTACAACTAAAGCCAAAAGATTCATTTTGCTAGCCTGATTGACTAATTTAATGTAGCAGCATGAACCAAACGTAGGAGATAGACTGGGTCTGGGACAGTGAACAAAACCCCTAATTTTGACATTCATTCTATATCCACAGCAATTGCAGGGACAGCCTCATCTGTCTGCACCTACGCAGTTTCCCTTATACTTCAAAAGCGTATATATATATATATATATATATATATATATATATATATATATATATATATATATATATATATATATATATATATATATATATATATATATATATGCAAACACAGTAGAAAACAAAGGGACACATTAAATCCCAAGAAAATAATTGAGAACCCAAATAGCAAGATAGCATATGACTGTACGAGTGTCCTGACGATATTAAATGCCACAAGAGATTTTAGAGTCATTAGCTAATTTAAGAATTTAATAGGCAGACACGTACACATTATTCAACCAAACAAATAAAGACTCCTTCAAGAATCCAATAGATGTATGCTATAAGTACAGAAATAGTATGACTGAGTCCCTGATGATGATATTGAATGCCAACAAGTGTTTTACAACCCCTACATGTGGGGACATAGTAAAATGTTTTCTAGTCAGATTTTGGAACATAGTATAATACATATTTCATCATAAGCAATAAAAATACCAAAAACATGTTAACATAATCAATATGCGCACAAGTTTTAAGAATACCTCGAATGTAATCACACAAACAAGGACAATAATGATATACACAGGACCTAGGATCTAGCTTCGCATTCCACAGTCACAGTACTAAATCAAAACAAGCCTATGTATCCCATTCCATGTATTATGCATCAAGAGGAAGCATAAACTTGGAAACAGGGCAATTCATAAACCGAAAGGTAGAGATAGAACAGTAAAATGATTATGTTCATTGTTATACCTTCAAAATGTGTTAATCATATAAACATCTGACCATCTGGAGAGAGCAAGAAATCGAAAAACTTGGACAAAAAATTACAGGGAATACACAACTACGAAATCAATAAAAAAAAAAATTATTGTTATTTTACACAAGGCATTGGCGTCAATTTTTTAACAACAAATACTTGAATTGTAGTTTATAAATTCACCCGTACTTCATTAGAGCAAGGAAATTAACATTTATCAATTTCAAGAATCACAAGCACAAAAATCAAACTCCAAAACATTTAAAAAGGTATAAAATAAATAAAACGAATGACTTCAATACTTGTAACTGAGTATAACAATTGCTTCAAAATTTAAGAAACTACAAAATTTGGAACATATCCTTGACCAAAAACATTGAATAAAAGAAAAACTAGGCACTTGCTTCTATGATATCATTGGCCAAAACGGGATCAGGTCGGATATATTCCTCTTCCTCCTTTGGAGCATGGATTGTAACTAGATCAGGAAGGGGAGTTTTAGGACCCTGCTTCCCTTTAGGATCCCAATCAAGCATAATCTTTACCTTAATGCCAAGAACACCCTATGGAAACAGCATGGAAAAAAAATCATTACAAAATACTAAAAAGTGAATCAACAACCCAAAGGAAACCCTATCAAGAATCTAACAAGGATAGAAACCTGTCTGAGGAGCACGTGTCTCACTGCAGAGTCGATATAATCTTTGACAGGTTGACCAGAGGAAATCATGTAGCCATCCTTAAACTTCATGGATTTTGCCCTCTGTGCTCTCAATTTCCCACTCACAATCACCTGCTCAAATCAAACAAGCAAGCCATCAGATAAAGCCACACAACATCAATATTTCAAAGCAAGCGACTTCTGTAGAACAAACCTCACATCCCTTGGCACCACTCTCCATAACAAACCTCAAAACACCATAGCAAGCCCTGAAAAAACAAAGTTCAAGCGTAAGCAACATTACCACAAATCCACTATGTACATTTGTTCACAGAAGTAAAAAAAATATCACAGATTAGCAATTCAACACATTGTCAAACTAACCAAAATTGTTTCTCGCAGAAAAAATTAGGTCTATAGGCTCCGCACATTCTTTAAATAATAAGAATCAGCATAGATACGTTGCAGTAAAAAAACACAAGACCAATTTATCCCAATAGTAAATTATCAAATCAAATAAAATCAATGTCACAAATAAAATTTGCATCTATCAATTAACATTACGAAGAAATCAAAATTTATAAAAAAAAAAAGTCAACAACAGAATTTTCATCAAAAAACAGCAAACTTTCGGAAATCTCTGCAACTGGCATTGCATCTGCGTCGCTTTTTTGCCCGCAATATCATTTAGGTTAGGAAGCAATCAACTTACAATATCAAGGATCGCAATGAAACTATACAATTTTGTAGCAATCGGAAAAAAAAATGTTAGTATGAGAGATACGACTGTAGGTGGGAAGCCATAATCCCCGGTGGTGCTAGCGGATAATTCACACTAATGTGACAGAAAAATTGCGCAAATAATTGTGGATTACAATGAATCTATAACTACTATAACCTCAATGAAAAGAATTAATAAAAATGACAATATATACCTGCGTACAGCAAGTCCACCAAGGAGCTTGTAGCGGAGAGACTCAGCCTGAGCTATAGCGCAAAGTCCCCTGTTGTTGACTTTCTCGGCGTACAGTTCAACGCTGTTTTCTGGAAACTTGAACCTCTTCTGAACCACCGAGGTAAGTTCCCTGATTCTCCTTCCCTTCTCACCTATACATACACAAAAAGAAAACCGTCAATGCTCAAATCCAACAAAGAAATAATAGAAGGTTCCAGAACAAAACAGAGGCACACTCACCGAGAACGGCTTGGGTTCTAGTAGCTCTGATTATGATTTCGGTGCGCATCGGCGTAACTCTAACTTCCACGCCGGAGTAACCATCCTCCGCCAGCTCTCGCGTCAGAACCTCGTTCAGTTCTGCGAAGAACACTCCATCGGCCACAAACTGCTCAAACGGCCGCAAACGGCGAAGGTTCAGTTATTGATATTGTTAAAAGGTAGCTGAAATCGGTGAAGGTTGATAAATGAGAAACTCACCTTTCTCTTCTTGCTCATTTGAGTCGCCATCGTCGCGAATCGAAGTTATGCAGAAAGGAAGAGTGCGGCTACGATTAGGGTGTGGCGGTACGCGCTGGTTATTAGGTTTAGTGAAATATATAGTTAGAGGCAGACACAAGAAACCCTAAGTGACGATACAAATATAAATTTAACTGAAATTAATTGAAAAAAAAAAAGATATATATATATATATATATATATATATATATATAATAATAATAATAATAATAATAATAATAATAATAATAATAAATGAAAAAAAATATATGAATTAAAAAATATATTATAAATGAAATTTGTATATAAAATAAATCAAAAAGTTTATATATATAGAAGGAGAAAGGGTTAAAGAAATAAGCTTAGTACTTAGTTTTCTAAATTAAGACTTAATATATATTGAGTGTACTATTGTTTATAATAATTATTATTTACCAATTTCATTAAAAAAATAAGAATAAAATATTAATAAAAATATATCATATTTTAGATTGCTTAATAGTAGGAAAGAAATGCGAAAGAAAATAGATAAATTATGTTTTCATTAAAATAAATATATATATATAAAAAAAATATATATATATATATATATATATATATATATATATATAGTTATGAATTCACTTTCAACCAAAATAAAAACTAAATTTTAAATTTTGATGTATTTTTGTGTATTATTGTTTTTATAATTCAGATAAATTTTAAGTCTTATATTTGATAAAAATATAAAAATTGAATAACTGAAAAATATGATAATCAATTATCTTAAAATTTTATATTAAAAATATATCATAATTTTTTTAAATAAATGTTTCATTATTTATTGATAATATTTTTTATTATTAGTAAAAAAAATACATCATATTTTTTCTTTCAAATTAGATTTAATCAATTTTTTTATGTATTGATAATAATTTTTTATTATTAGTAAAAAAAAATACATAGTATTTTTTTCAAGTTAGGTTTAATCAATTTTTTTATGAAAGAATAAACAAATTATTTTAATAATTATAAAATTAGTGACTTCATAAAATAAATATAGGATGCATCTTAGACAAATAGTGAAAATTGAATGAATTATTTGATTTAAACGAACAAAATAATAATTATTATAAAATTTAAGTAAACTTATCTAACAAGACGAAAATACCAGAAACATTTGACAAAATAATGTTTTCACGAAGGAAATTGCAAATTATTATTTTATCCTTCTTATCGTAATTTTTTATTCTATATAAAGTTAATTTTATATTTTCATCACATAAATATGTCACATGTATATCATAAAATTATTAGTTGAATATTGCCATGACTTTCCATCATAGGTATGCATATCTTCTCCATGTCCTTATATCCATTAAGAAAGATAAGGAAGAAACTTATTTTTTTACTCCAATATCTTTTTAAAACATAATATAGTATTCTGTAACTATCATAATATAATATACTTAGAAATAAATTTCCATGTACTTATAATAAATTATTTATAGTCATAATCCAATTCTTATTAGTCTAAATCTCATAATAAATATATCTTTTATTTAAAGTTTTAATAAAATAAAACAAAAACAAAGACAATAAAGTTTTTAGATGTTACTTATGCTTAAACTAATTGTTTTAATTATTTTATGATATAATATGTTAATATTGATGATTTCAATTTAATTGAAACAATAACCTTAAAACGCAAGCAATTATATTACTAATCAAAATAATAATTTAACTTCAAACTATACTTAGTTCAATTAAAGTTTTTTATTTCAATAACCTTTCTCCCATTTTATATATATTAATATTTAAGAAAAAAATAAAGACAAATTGTTTTTAAATAAAAGTAGCAAATTAATCTTTTAAAATAAATATAAAATGATTTAATTTTTTTAATTTAAAGGAAACATAATAATGATAGATTTTGATTTTTGTTAAATGATTTAAGACAGTAACTAATCCTACCTAAATCTAAATATTTTGATTGGATTCATCAAACAGTTTATTTTAATTCAATTTATTAAAAATAAAATTATGGACCTAAGTTTACAAGGAAAATATAATAACAATTATTATTATTATTATTATTATTATTATTATTATTAATTCACCCTAATTTGATATATATATATATATATATATATATATATATATATATATAAGGTTAAAAAATAAGTTTAGTAATTACTTTTCATAAATTAAGGGTTAAACTTACTCTTTTTCTTAATTTTAGCTTACATTTTAATTAATTAGAGATAAATATTTATTCTATAAGTTTAAATGTATTTTTTGCAACTAAAGTTTTAAACGGGGTATATTTTGTAAACATCATATAAAATAAATTAATTGTACTCTTGTTTATAGTAACTATTATTTAATAAAAAATTTCAAGAAAAAATAGAAAAAATAAAAGAATAAAAATATTAATAAAAAGACAAATCATGTTTCAGGTTATTGAATGACATGAAAGAAATGCGAAACAAAATACATAAGTTATGTTTTCATAAAAAATATTATATATTCAAATTCACTTTCGACAGAAATAAAAATGAAAATTCAAGATTTTGGTATTCTAAATCAAGGTTGGATGTATTTTTGTTTTTTAAAATTCAAAGTGAATTTAAAATTTTATATTAAATAAAAATATAAAAATAAAATAAAATAAAGTATAAATATTATAGAATAATAATATCATATTTTAAGAAATTGAATTAAAAATATATCATATTTTTTAAAAATTGTTGGCTTCAGTAATAAAAATCTTTTCATTATTAGTCTCATAAAAAATACATATCTTTTTTCTTTCAAATTATATTTAATCAATTTTTTTATTGAAAAGTACAAAATAATTTTAATAATATAAAATTAGTGACAAGATAAATATAGGGTGCATCTTAAAAAAAATAGTGAAAACTAAATGAATTATTTTAAACTAATGAAATAGTAACTGGAGACCGTATTTGTTTCAAATTATATGCGATGACTTGAAGGCACAATTAGGGAGAAATATAAGATAAACGTTTATTTGCGAGAGTAAAAAGATGAAAAAAAGAAGAAGAAAAGAAATACATGTCATCATTTATAATTTTACATTATTAATCTTCTATTATTAATCTTCCTTTTATTAGTTTTATTGTTTGGATGACAAATGTCAAGTTATCCTTATCAAAGAGATTTATGATCATGCACAATAATTTTTGTCTATTTGGTTGACCATGGATGGAAAGAATTGAAGTTTTAAATGACATTAAAAAATAGTAAATCATTGTAGTTGGGTACTTTGGAAAGGATTATTTTTATGTGATTATTCTTATTTTGCTTCATGTGATTGCTTTTTAAAGTAAGTGGTGGTTAATTTGTGCAAACGCTAGTTGTTTATGTTTATAAATTCACAAAATTATATTCCAAAAATTATAGTTTTCTTTATCTATAATCGAATCTCGATAAATGTGTTATGTTGATGTTTTTACATTATATTTTTTGTAATTTTGATGATGTTGTATTATAGGTGATAGTGGTAGTATTAAAGATGATGGTTACTAGAGATCGTTTTTATTAACTATCATATTTAATTTTAATATAATTTATACCAATTATATTTTATTTTAAAATACTTTTTAAAATAAGGATAAAATTACAATCTTACAAATTTATCAATTAAAATATTTTTAAATTTATCAAACTAATATTATAAGCTGTTGAAAGTCCCACATCGCCTACCTCATATAGTATGATTTAAATACATGTTAGAGCTACTTCGCATATTGTCAATTGGTTTTATGTTGGAACCTTAACATGGTATCGAACCAAAGCCTAACATCTTTCTCGTTATTGTCATAGGTCAAAAGTACCATTTGTCTGCAGTCGACAAACTTTGTTAGAGGGGGTGTGTTGAAAGTCTCACATCACCTACCTCATGTCATTTTGTATGATCTAAATACATGTTAGGCTACTGTACATATTGTCAATTGGTTTTATGATGGAAACTTAACAATAACTCACAAATTTTTCTTTCATTTTTATCTTCTTTCTTTTAATCGAAACAATCCTACTTTTACTCTTCTTCTTTTTTTACCGTGGACTATATTCATTTTCATTTCTCAACTCCATTTCTAAATCCAAACAAATACAAGTTTGTTTCCATTTTCATTTCTCAACTCCATTTCTAAATCCAAACAAATACAAGTTTGTTTGAAACCAAACCCAACAAAATACTCAAAAGCTTTTACAAAAAAAGATGATAATTAAATTCGTACCCATGGGTGATTAACCCGTCTTCGCCCGAGTTTGATGGAAAAAATCGAATTGATAGGGGCGGAGCGGGTTCGAGTTTTTCCGCTTTAAAAAGTCGGGGCGGGGATGGGTAATGCAATCCCCACCCGCCCTGACTTTATATTTAAATTTAAATTCAAAAATATTAATATTTTTAATAATATTTTTTATTACATATAAGGTCAAATTTTTATATTTTACTATTTTTACTTTTTTTAAATCCACTTTTTTTACTTTTTTATCTTTTATATTAATTAGTTTATTACATTATTATCTTTCTATTGTCTTTCAGTTTTTCACATTTCCTTAATTTATCTAATAACTTTTTTTCCGTCTTTATCTTTTTCTAAATATTTTATACAAATCTTAATAGTAACTAATATTATTTTATTTATAATTTATATTTATTAGATTTTATTATATCATATTTTTTTATATCTTATTATTCTTATTTTTCATATATCAAATTTTATTTTAATAAAGTAATTGTATTTTAAATGATTAAAAAAATTGATAATTTAAAATGTTATTACTTCAAATTAATTCAATAAGAATTAACTTATTAAATATTTTCTTATAAATTATATATTTCATATTTTAAAATAACAACTTAAAAATGGATTAACTTATATATATATATATGTAATCAAAATGTTTTAATATAATATTATAACAATAATAATATAAGTATTCAAATGTTTGAATACAATACTATAATAATATTATATTATAAATATTCTATATATATATAAATAAAAAATAATTAAATATTTGTTTTACATACATATTTTAATATAAATATTTATTTATATAAAAAAATATATAGTAAAATTAATTTATTATAAATATAATTATTTTTTTAAAATTAATATAAATCGGGGACGGGACAGGAGAAAAAACCTGAAACCCAGCAGGAACGGGTATTCATCTCCGTAGGGATCAAAGACAAAGATGGAAACGGGAAGGTTAAAAAAAGTCGGAAGCGTACATTGAAGTGCCCTAGCGCGCTGTTGCCATGACAAGATACAAAATATAACTTCTCTTATCTACTTAATTACTTGTTATTTTCAACCCTTATCTAACTAATTAGTTAACTTAGTATTTTTAAAGAATAAACAAGAATTTGGTTTTTAAATAATGTTAGAAAACAATAACACTTAAAACAATGTTTTTAAAATCAAACTTGTAATTCAATAGGTGAAAATATGGGTTTAGAGTTTAATTGAGATCTAATCGAATTGAATAAAATATTTTTTTATAAGTTTATTAGTACTAAAGTTTTTTTAAAAAATAAATAAAAATAATAAAAATTATTTTCATATTATAATAAAAATTATAAATATAAAATATATTAATAAGATGAATAATTGTTAAAATATAATGAAATAATTATTAGTTAAAGTTAATGTAACTAATATGAGATAAAAAAACTAAAATATATTATATTTTTATAAAATATGTATATTAAAAAAATTATTTGTACTAAAATTGATTTGACTCAAAAATCCTAATTTTTTTTCAGTTTTATTAGTTTAATTAAAATTTTTTTATTCAAAAATGTTACTTTTTTTCAGGTTTAATCGACTTATCAGTCCAATCTTTTAAACAATGCTTAAAAACAATGTTTTCAAATATATTTTTAATAAATAACAAGAGAAAGACAAAAATACCATAAAAATGTGACAATATAATGTTTTATAAAGGGAATTACAATCTATTATTTTATCCTTCTTTCTCATTATAATTTTTTATTTTATTTTTTAAGTTTAGAAAAAAAGCTAATTTTATATTTCCATCACGTAAATATCACTCATGTTTTACATTTTATCATGAAAAAAATATTTGAATATAGCCAGGACTTTTAACCACCAGTATAATAATTTCAATTATACAAATGTTAAAGCAAACCATAGCATATATTGTTTTATGTTCTTCTTATATCCATTAAAAAATGTAGATGTGAAACTTTTTTATTTTATTTTTTACTCCAATGTCCTTTTAAAACATGATATTATGCACTTTGTAACTATCAACAAGTGTTATTATCATAATATAATATACTTAAAAACAAATTTGCATAAATAACGTACTTATAATAAATGATGTATTATTAAACTTCAATTCCTATTAATCTAAATCAAGTCATGAATAGGTAACAAAAACATAAGAGAACAGAGGATGAGTATTTTTTTTATTATCTAGAGTTTCAACCAAATAAAGTAAAGACAATGAAGTTTTTAGTTGTTACTTTTAAACTAATTGTTTTAACTATTTTATGATATAAAATGTTAATATTGATGGTTTCAAATGAATTAAAACAATAATTTTAAAACGTAACCAAAATAATAATTAAACTCCAACACATATACTTTTGTTTGATTATTTATTTTTTTAATACGTTTTCAAATTTTTATACCAATATTTAAGAAAAGGAATTTTTTAGAAAAAAAAATTTAAAATAAAAGTTAAACAATTAAATGCTACTATCTAATTTTTCAAATGAATATAAATTAGTTTTATTTTTCTTTTGAGTTCAGAGGAAACATTGTACCATAATAGTAGGTTTTGATTTTGTTGAATGATTTAACACAGTAAATAATCCTACCTAAATATTCGATCAATTGAATTCATCAACACCTGCCATTTTAATGGGATGAATTACGTTTAAAAGTAAAACTATGGACCTAATTTACAAAATAAATTCTATTTAGCTGCCGCATTAAATAATTCGAACACTTTAATTTTCATTATCTACAAATAGTAAATAATAATAATAAATAGATAAATAAATAAATGTTGTTATTATTAAAAATCTATGCAACACTTTAACATGTTTTTAAGACTATATACTGTACACTCTTTTATTTTATTTTTTTTTGTTTTCTTTTTATGCAGACTGTACTGATTGTAGAGAGATGGTAGATGGAGCTCATCCAACTGCACATCAAGTGATGTTTTAGGATATCCAAGGGAAAGTGAATCCCATCTCTCTCTAGAACCACAAAACCAGAACTTTGAGTCACTCAACAAAAAAAGCCAAATCCTTTGAGCTCTAGATGAAGCAAAAAGCAGCAGAAAAAGACCAAAGACTCTACACCAATTCTTGATCTCTCTCGTACCCTTTGAGCATTAGAGGGTTTTCTTCAAATTGTCATGTTTTGATTCTGGAACACCAGAGAGTTATAGAATGGGTTTCTATAGGAAACTCGTGTTGTTTCCTTTTTTGCTGGTTTTGTTCACAAGTTTTGAGCCACCCCATGTTGCAGAAGCTGCTTCTGATTACTCCACTTTGGTCTACAAGGGCTGCTCTAAGGATTCTTTCACAGATCCAAATGGGGTGTACTCCCAGGCTCTCTCTGCGCTATTTGGCTCATTGGTTTCGCAATCCACCAAAACCAAGTTCTACAAGGCCACTTCTGGCTCTGGCCAGAACACTATAACTGGTCTCTTCCAATGCAGAGGGGATCTCTCCAACTCTGACTGCTACAACTGTGTCAGCAGGCTCCCAGTTTTGTGTGACAAACTTTGTGGAAAAACCACAGCTGCAAGGGTCCAACTACTAGGTTGCTACATTCTCTATGAGGTTGCAGGATTCTCCCAAATCTCAGGTATGCAGATGCTGTACAAGACTTGTGGGTCAACAAATGCTGCTGGGAGAGGGTTTGAGGAGAGGAGGGACACTGCATTCTCTGTGATGGAAAATGGGGTGGTCAGTGGCCATGGCTTCTACGCCACCAGCTACCAGTCTTTGTATGTGATGGGGCAGTGTGAGGGGGATGTTGGTGACTCAGATTGTGGGGAGTGTGTTAAAAATGCTGTCCAAAGAGCTCAGGTTGAATGTGGCAGCTCTATTTCAGGACAAGTCTTTCTGCACAAGTGCTTCATTAGTTATAGCTATTATCCAAATGGGGTTCCTTCCAGATCATCTTCATCATCAGCTTCATTCTCTTCATCTTCTTCAGGTACTACATGACGTGACTATTATTGTCTTACACCTAACCTAGCTACTTACGCAGTCACACACTCTGGACCAAAAAGATGTGAATGTAACAAAAATTGGAAGGCAAAAGAGAAGTGTCAATTTTTAAGTTTTAACACCATGCTAAAATTTGAACAATCTGTCATTGTCATTGTTTGTTGTATAAACTTTACTTCATTTTGCAATACTTTGTGCATTTTTAGTTTAATTATCTGTCAAAAATCATGTTGAAGTATCTTATTATATTAGATAAATATTCACTTATTTCTTTTCAATTATAAAACTATTTATTACTAACTTGCTTTTAAAATAAAACACTTAAATATGAATTGTTTCACTTCAAAATCAATGCTAATCAGCATTAACTTTGTTTCATTTATGATCAAATCTGCAAACACTTATCTAAATATGCACTAAATTAGTTGTTCCAGTGTTCTAAGAAGTGGTGCTAGTATGCTAACTATGATCATATTTATATCTGCTATTGTGATATGTTGCCTGTTGGTGATGCAGGGCAAAATCCAGGGAAAACGGCTGCTATAATATTAGGAGGGGTAGCTGCGGTGGCTTTTGTGGTTATATGTTTGCTATTTGCCAGAAGTTTGAAGAAGAAACGTGATGGTATGAGTTATATGAGCCAATAAGAAGTGATGTTATGATGGATTATGTTATATATTATCAGTTACTCTCTTGTTATTGTACATACTTTATGCTCTTACTAATTTTGTGTCTTGATTCTCTCATTTACTTATTTTGCATTACTATTATCTTGCACAGATTATTGACAGAAGAATATGAGTTCTGAGAAGGCAAAACTATTCAGTGTGATGCATAGTTTTTTGCATGTTTAGTTGAGGGATGAAGAAGGGTGAAAATTTTGTGATAAATAGAGTTTGCTTGATACAGAAACCATAGAGGATGGTTCAGTGGTATGATTGTTGTAGCTACACATATTTTGCTGTTGGGAAGAGCAATGTGATTAGAATATGAAAGTGAGATTCTTTTTTACAAGGATGTAAGTGTAAATTACACAACTGAATGAATGTTTGTCATCCTGAGTAGATGAAAATTTTGGACCTTACTCTCTAGCCATGTGAGTAATTTCTCTTTTGCCTATTTTCTACACTATTGACCCTCCTCTTTTTAATTGTTCATTGACTTTATGCTTTTTAAAAGGTTGCTAGTTGCAACCCTCCCATGCTCCAAGAGTCCTGTCTCTATCTCCCATTCAAATGCTTAGATATTAAGTTTTATTTGTTTATAATCACTGTTATATAAATATGAATAATTAAACAAATGAATATTCAAATACACTACTAACCTATTATACAAAGAAGAGAGAATATAGAAATTGATTAGAATTTAAGTTTTGATATTGTCTCAATGTCCTTGGTCATATGACATGCAATAAGATATTTAGTCCATTCAACCTCATTTGTTTAGACTCTCATTCAATTCTTCTAATGATGTTTCATCCATAAAACTTCTCAACCTCCATAAATGCAATTATGTATTTTTTACATATAATACAATATTGTTAAACCTTTTTATTATTATTATTAAACCTAAATTAGAAAAAAATGATAATTTTACAAATACTAAAACTACAATAATGTACACCCACGAGTTTTTTTTTTTTAAGTTTCTTCACATTTTTATTTTTAACATTATTTATATCATTCATATTTAAATGTCTTTATAACTATCAATCATATAAGAGGAAATTAAAAAAAAATACGCAGTCAAAAATAAATATTTAAAAATATATAATTAAATCTTTTAACAAATATTGTGTGTTTTATTTATATATTTTTCTGAAAAATGGTTCATTCAACGTTTGAATGAAAAAACGAGAGACATTAATTTTGCATTGGCACCAGCTTGTGACAGTTGTAAGGCATGAATGATTGTGGAAACCGAACACGGAAGCTTGAAAAGACAAAATGACAGAAAAGATGATCATCATGACTCTAACAGAGGACAATATGGGAACACATCACAATCCTGGTCTTGTCACTAGAGCTTGTTTCATATTAATGTGTGAAAAATATGATGCATTTTTTATTAACTGGAAAAAAACAATAATGCGTTGATATTAAAGTGAACAATTTGTTTTATTATTAAACAACGTAGTATTATTTTATGAGAAACTATTGTTTCTCAAAAGCAACGGCTAGAACCCTAGCATAGGGAACTTGGTGCGTGCGTGCTTGCCACGATGTGGCTCTTGGTTTCTTCCATGGATGATTCTTTGAACACAGTGTGGAAGATTCTTTTTGGTGGAGCCTCTCACAAATGGGAGCAATACTCGATCCGTGTCACAGGAAAAAGTGATGGAGGTAGTGGAAGGACTGTGCTACTGTCACATACCAAACTTTCAATTCCAGAAACACTTTTATGTGTCTTTCTTGTCTTTTTCCTTGTTCTTAGCAGATTTTGAAGGTTAGAAGATATGGTGTCAACAACCCTAACTAATCACTTCATTTTGGCCCTAATCAACCTCATCCAACTAATCTAATCTTGAGTTTACATAAATGATTACAAATTTTAAATTCTATGTATGTATTCAACTGTGTAAAATATAGCAACAGAGATTCTGACATAAACAACTAGTCCATTATAAAACTGTTTCGTACAATTTTGAATTCAAAATTGACATAACCCTATATTATGTTGATTTTACAATATCATATGTGTTAATTATTTTTTTAAAGAAACATACTTAGCCCACGACTCAACATGGATTGGATTGGGCTGGGCTGGGCTTACAGGGAATAGAAGTTGTTATCTACATAGAAATTTTCATAACTATTAAGCCAACTTTTCTTATAACAATTCAACTTTTTTATTTATAAAAAACTATTTGTGTTTTTTTTTAACTTATTTTTATATGTTTTTATTTAAATTTAATCAGTATTATAATTTTAAATAAAATAAAAAATAAGTATTCTGTCTATCATAATTTCAAAATTAATTACATTTATTATATTTAACGCAAATATTTTTCGTATTAATGTGTATTAGATTATATTAATAATATGTAATAAATATATTTAATTATTTAGTTATATATAATATCATATAAATTATTATTTAAATATAATATTGGTATAAATTTTATAAATTACAATACTCTATTTTTTTACATTAATACTATTTTATTATTATTATTATTATATTATTATTATGATTTATATTTATTGGTTGAATTTTTGTTATAAAGGGAAAAATTCGTTCCAAAGGATCTGACATACTCATCATTAATATCCATCTATCTGAATTTATATTTTATTATGTTTATTGACCATAACAAGTGCTATTTTATAAAATATAAAAAATAAAATATTTTAAATTTAAGAAAAATAATTATTTCATTTAAATACACATACCTTTAAATGAATAGAAAAATAAATACCCTCAGTTTGGTTAACTTATTTGAATTTGTAAGTCATAAATATGACACATTAATAAATCATTAATAAATTCTATAAATTTAAAAATTTGGAATTAATTTAATTAGTTGGATTTAATTCTCAAGTTTTTTTAATTGAAGAACATAAATAAAGATAAATGGTAGAAATTTTTACTTTAGATGACATATTAAGAATCTAAACTGTATGTTTGATATAGGGTAAAAATAAAATAAAAAAATTATATATATTTAAAAAAGGAATGAAATACTTTTTTTCTTAGTTAGCTTTGTAAATAATAATAATAATAATACAAATTACATGTAAATTGTTACATAATATAAACACTTTGATAAAAAATTTAAAAAGTTAATTTTAAAAGCCTTATTTATAAACTCTATGAAACCTCAATTTATAATTCAAATAGAATTTAACCTAATTATTCAGAAAAAGTTTTAAGAGTGTTTCATTTTTATTCTCTTGAAGTCCATGTAACAATAGAACATAATAATAATAATAATAATAATATTATTATTATTATTATTATAATAGATTATTTAAACCTGTTCAAAATAATATTAAAAATAAAAGTTATATAAACTCTTAGTTATTTGAGTTTGGTCTAATGTTTTTTTTTTCTTCTTAAAAGAAAAAACTGAGCCAACCAGATTTTTAAATAGGAGTGTCTTTTTTAAAGTGAAAGATGTGTACTTTAGAGGATAAAAGTATAAAACCAATTATTTAAAATTATAAAAAAATATAATATATTTAAAATTAATAATAATATCTTTTAAAATAAACTCTTAAAAATATAAAATAGTTTTGAAAATTTATTCGTCCCAATACTTAATATTTTATATTATATTTATAGTTTTGAATAAATAACAAAAAAATATGTGACTCTTTAGTTATATAGTATTATATGATAATATAAACATATTATATATCAGTACAATGTTTTAATTATACGAACATATAATAATAATAATAATAATAATAATAATAATAATAATAATAATATAACAATATTATATTAATTAAAGGTGTATTTGGTCTCACATTATTTTTATATCCAAAAATTCTCTCTGACACACATTAGGAACAAGTTATTAACGTAAAAAAAAATATTACACATAAATATTTGAAATTTAATCAATACAATAATAAGATTATATTTCTGTACCTATTTGTTAAAAAATAAAGAGTTAAATCAGGAAATATTTTTTTATAATATTTCACTAGTGCAAAAAAAGCTTTTTATATCGGTTAAAATGAGCTTTTTACGTCGGTTAAAGAGGCGACATAGATACAGGGGTCATAGAAAGTATGACTTTTTACGTCGGTTGTGATGAACCATCATAGAAAGTATGACATTTTATGTCGGTTGTAATGAACCGACATAGAAAGTAATGGACTTTTTACAAAAATTGTCACTGATAGAATTCGAACCCAGTACATTAGAGTCTAGAATTAGACCAACCACTACACTAGTATGCTTTTTATTTATTTATTCATATTATATTTTTATTATACTTTATAATATATTATTTTATTATCTGTTTAAGATATTTGTGTCTAACAAGATTTGAACCCAATACCTTAGAGTTGCGGATCGATACTCCAACCACTAAACTACTACGAATTTCGATACTTAACTTACAAATAAATTATATTTATATACAAAATATATAAATACAAATATATTTATATATTTTGATATATAAATATTTATATACTTATATATTTAATTTTTTTATTTAATATACACTTTCTATGTCGGGTAAAACTTAGCAGACACTTTCTATGTCGGGTAAATTATAACCAACATAGAAAGTTCACTTTCTATGTCGGGTAAATTTTAACCGATATAGAAAGTGAACTTTCCACTTACTATGTCGGTTAAAATTTACACGACATAGAAAGTTTATGATTTAATTACAAAATTGCCACTGCGCTACATACTATGACGGGTGGACTACGACCGTGATAAAAACTCGTCATAGAATGCTATTTTTTCACTAGTATTTTTATTTTTGTAAAACTACATTTTTTTAAGTTTATTTAAAGGAAACTTTCCAGATAAAAAATAAATTAAAACTGATAAACAACTATATTTTGAACTATTATTTTTTTAAATTAACTTAAAAAAGTAACTTGAAATAAATTAGATTAAAATAATCTTAGATCCATGAAAAAAAATTAGAATGAGAATACACAAAATATTTTTTCATTTA